AAAATTCGATCGGACATCGACTCGACATTAAACTTTAAATAATTTAACCAATAAGCAAAAAAATAATTTATAATCAATTTAGCGGCAAAAAAACGACGAGAATATGCGTACCAAAATTATAATAAGTCTAGAAAATTGTGAAAGAATTTTTTATAGAAAAAAAAGAAAAGCAATGAATGTTTTTAATAAAATTTATGAAAAAACTTTAGAAATAATTAATTCTGATAGCCAAATTGGAAAAGTTAATTTTATATATGATTGTAAAATTAATGAGGATATGGATATTGATGACGATAAAGAGTCTAAATTTAAAAGAAATGAACAAATTAAAAAACGTGAAGAAATGGAGAATCAAATTTTTTATAAAAGATTTAATATTCAGAAAATCCCGAGCTTAATCGAGGAATTGGGTAATGTTTTAAATTTTCGCTCACCACATACAGGAGCTATGCCAGAGCTATACCACAACTAACAGGAGATATACCAAGACTATTGCTTTTGTTTTATCCTTTTAAACCGTTTAACCCCACGCCTTAGCGTTTTAATTGCCCTAGATGAATCATCTTTACAAAATCATGTAATTCGTTCGATCCCAAAACGTCATTTCTATTTAATTAAAAAGATAATTTATAAAATAATTTAATAACACAAATATATGTATTGCAGAAAAAGGCACAACAAGAATGTTAATCATAAACTGCAATAGAAATCAAGTAATAGAAGCGATTGTATTCAATGTTCAAATATTTTGTTTGCCTCATAGAGATGATCAAAATTACGTTGCAGAGGGATTAAAATTGAATTACTTTCAAGTTCAAAAGGAGAAAATTGGGGAAATTGGGGAAACTGGGCAATATTTTTTTAATGAAGATGTAGAAAGGAGTTACCAATCTTCAAGTAAATTATCATCTGAGAATATGATAAAGGCCAATGATGATAAATATATTGATTATCTAGCACTCTCAACAAATCTACTTTATGCTATGTATGCTGATGCTCGTGAGAATCAGCGAAAATATTTTAAAATATTTGAAGATGGCATCGAAAAAACTCTCAAACAGAAGTATGTAGATATAATATTGACTCTATTTCCACTCCCCACTTTTGTTTATTCCTAATTTATCCGTTTATATCTTCTTATCTATCAGGTAAAATTAGAACAAAGGTGAAAATAAGATGAGAAGACAAGTGGACGATCCTCAGATTTCAAAAATATAGGGTCTTGAGGTCATCATTGAACCCATTCTTTGGTCTCTGTTATAAAAGCCGTCATTTTTTACTTTATATTATATAATTTCTTTAAATAGATATGCCGAAACATTGAATAAAATCCACGATGATTTGATTAAAAAATGGAAGAAAAAACATCCTATTAATTTGTTTCTCGAAGTAATCGAAGAAAAAACAAAAGATTTACAGAATTAAATTGATCGATTGTAACCACAAAAAACGGCAAAAAAACAAAAAAGCCAAAAATATTTATGGGTACTTGTCGGTTATACGCCCACAAACTGAGTGCCAGCCGAATTCATAGGCTTTAACCCTTTGATGCTTGATCCAATTCAAATAACTCGTATTTCATTCGAAAGCCCCCGAAAAGTGGAAACTTTTTTTCCAACTTAATGGGTCAAATCTGATCACTCGTTAAAAAGGTTATAACCCGACAAATGTAAAAAACACCAAATAACTGGAAATATTGTGTTATAACCTATAAATGAGTGATCAGACTGCCTATAGAAAAATGGTATAAGAAAATGGTATATCAAGCTCAAAAAAGTTATAGCCGATCAATGTCGGATGGCTTCCAGTTTGTCGGCGTATAACCGATAGATACCAATTTTTGAGTATACGCACATGACTTCTACACTTGAAGAGTTTGAATGACATTACCACAAAAATTTATATATAGTGTGCAAAAAATTAAGGGCACATTTTCTTTTAGTCATATCTTTCATCAAAATACATAAAAATCGGAAATTATTTTTTATTTTATTTTCAACATATTAGCAAACTTGATAATACCAAAATCGCTTTTGAATTTACAAATTAGGCTGATTAATTTTCCTAAGTTTGAGTTCATAAAAAATGAGATACATCTAACTAATTTAAGTCGATTGGTATCAAAATTATTAGGATTGAATGATTTTTTGAATGAAGTTATGATCAATTAAACTTAAAAGTGGCAAATGTATTTTGACGCTTTTAGATGCTCGGACTCATTTTTCTTTGCTATCCGAAAACAAAATGTTTATTATTTGATATCATAAGTTTTTATCACTTTCGAAAAAATTAAGGCAAAAAGAAAAAGTGCCCTTAATTTGCTGCACCATGTATTATTAGTAAAGTCCGGATTTATATGCAAGTAAAAACAGTGAAATATGCGCTTTAAATAGGACCAGCTAAAATATTGCTTTATGCCAAGTTTGCAGATAAAAGGCATTTGCCTATAAATCCGGGCTTTAATTATTGGATATTCATTTATAAAATTATTTTTAAAGATTTTTTAATTCATGTCATAAAATATTTATGAAAAATTTTGAAATGAAAATAGGGTGGAGTAGTTAAAGGACCCGGTCAGTCGCGGTTGCAAAGCCCCTCCTTTTGAAGGTGTTACTGACAACTTAATCCCTTTAAATCCTTTTATATTTTTAAAATTGCCGACAATGATAAAATAATGATATTAGGGACTGAACCATAATTACCTATGAAGGGTTTACAAAAATTAATTTTTTATCTTGCAAATATGAAAAAAATAATAAAATATAAACTATTATATAAAATCTATCAATAAAAGTGAAAAAAGCTAAATAAATATACATATGACGAGTAATAAAAAATAATAAATATGGGATAGTCGTGGAAGATAAATGAGGTTATGGTTTGAGGGAGGAACGATAGTTTTTAAACACAGATAGGTGAGTAAAATAGATGAAGTTATGGCTTGATGAAGGAAAGCTTAATTTTTAATAAAAATAGGGCGACCTAAATACTGTTTTCTTCCAAAACACTTACAAGCTTTTTAATTGATTTTTCTAATTTATAAATAATATTTTAATTTCTAAATTTAATTTCACAAATTAGAATATTTTTTAAATATTTAGAATATTTATTAATAACTTGCTTGTCTTATAGTCAAATTCTTCTTCTGAAGATAGATTTGAATGTGAGTTTATTCTTTTTAATTATTCATTTCTATTTGTTTTTTAAATATGTAATAATTAATATCCACATAAAAAAGTAAATCTAAATTTTTTCATGAAAATTTTAAATTCCATAAAAACTTAATACTTACAATAAATCTAAATGATTTTGTCAGATGTCGGAAATCGGAATTGTCATAATGTTGAGGGCAGAGGGAAAGCTGTTGACAGTGTCATTCTAACTAAATATGATCATATTATATTTAAAAATTTTAAAAAACATAATATTTATAATCAAAAGTATTTTGTGAAAATGGAACTGGTGAAGATTAAGAACTATTTTAATAATGAATATGAAAGAGTTAACCAAGTAGTCTTTAAAGAGATTTTCTCAGCTAAATTTATTTCTTTCGCAACGTTTGGTTGGTCTGCAGCGTCAAATAAACATAGTCTAATTTTGTCACAGCTTTTCTTATATAACGTATCTATTAATTTCGTTATATCTCATTATCTTGAAGAAAAATTGCAACCAACATTATATGTTTTAGCAGTAAAGTCAATTAAAGGTCGACATACAGCAGAAATTATTTCTACTTTATTGAGCGGTTATTAACAGTTACCCCGGTTAATACAAATTTAAAAAACCCTGTTTTCGATTCTCAGTTTTATTTTTTTCGATCTTTATACATTGAAATACTCCTTGCTTAAAAAACAGAGTTCATTACCTAGCCGGAACCATGATAGTGTATGATAAAATCTGAGTTTTCAAGGTTTCTAGGTTTTAACTCGATAAATTTCGGCTTGGGTCAATTCCGGAAATATGTTTATTTCGAACTCTAATAAATATTTCTGAATTTTTTGTTTATAAAATAGAAAAATGACCTGAAAATTTAATTAATTTTAAATTTATTATTCAACCCCGAATCTCGACCCAAAGGTCAACCACGAACCCGAACGGGCTCTCCCAGTAAATCTCGACAATTGAGGCGTATTTATTTATCATGAAATAACTATTAATTTTAGAGTTTATATAGATTATTTTATTCTTTAATATTAAAAGTTCAGAATAAAGTATGCTCTTCGAATTAAATTTGAATGTCTTTATCGCAAACTCAATTTGGATACATTTGTTGATTTTGTACATTTACTTGATTATTTTCATTTAAAAAATTTATATGACGAATGAAGGGCTGGATGGCATTTGAGTGTAGATTTTTGTAGCCTTGCACAGTGGAATTTACACACTTTTTAAATATTCTGCAAAAATCAGATTGAATTGTCTTGTTCATTGTTAAGTAAATGACAGGAGGAATTCCTAAAATAATTTAATTATTATATGGCATGTCTGCACATTTGTTTTCATCAATAAAAATAATAACCCCTCTGCTAGGAACAGGTTTACGTAACTTGGGACAAGACCTAGCAACCGTTTACTCAGTAGAGACACGTAACGCATTGCAATGCGCGAAGCGCGGTGTATTCCAAAAGGTATTTCACATTGCGGAACACATTGCTTTTTACTGAGATATGGTTTGCGTGAAATACAGGGGAGAGCCTTATGTATTTTGGCATTAATATGTAGACTTTCTAAAGAGTTGTTATAACGTGTCTTAAAATTAATCACTGTTTTCAGTTCGGTTAACCAAATTGAGCAAGTATGTAATTGAAACTAAGAGTTCTCGGATTAAGTAAAAGAATGTTAAGAAATTAGGGCGATCGAGCATGAAACCAACAAACATATTAACTCTAATTTAATTTGAAGCATTATATAGACATTGATAGCTATGTTCAGGGAGATTTTCGTGGATTTTTTGAATGATAATAAAATTTCAGAGTGTCTTATAATTATTTAACAGAGTTTTAAAAATATTTTCCACCGTGTGCATTTAACCAGCATATTTGACCAATTATAATTACAACTTCATTAATGTGGATATATTGCATATAAACGTAAATAAAAGCAGCAGCACTATTAAATAAGCTAATCAAAAAGATTTGAAGAAAAATCTTAAATTTAGGGTTGTGACTATATTTAATTTTAAAAACCATTATTTCAGAGTAGCTATGTTGACTTCCTCCTTGTTTGGATTTTATTATAAAAATTATAAAAAACGTTAAGTAAGTAATTGACAGAAAGAATATAATTAATAAATCGTGAAATGCATTAAGAGTGTTCTGATATTCCTTTTGACAAATTAAATATTTTAAACAAATATTCAAACAAATACTTGATTAACATCATCAATATATCCAATGTGCGGATTGAGGAACCAGCTAAAGTAGATGCCGCTAAACAAACCATGCTTTTCCCACATAACTACGGATATACCGTATAATAATGGAATACCAAGCCAAAAAAGCAATCTTTTGCCTGTTAATATAAAAGAGAAAGATTCAGAAATTTCTTCAATAAAATTATTTTTCAACCTCCAAAAATTTTTTTTAGCTAATTCAGAAGATAATAGTTCAATGCAACGATTTATAGCTAAAATTACTTCCATTATAGATTCAGCAGACCAGCAAACTAATAATTAAATATCATTAAATCATTAAATACAAACATAATCCACAGGCCCCAACAAAATAAATAAATGTTGGTGAAGAACAAAAGACATATCCAAAATATCCCAAATATCCAGTGACTAATCCGGCACAAAAAATTGCTAACATATCAATAACTCCAATAACGAACATAATTTTATAACAATTAAATTTTGCCATTAATTTCCAAATTGAAAACATACAAGGAATATAGAGTATCTATTTAATAATAATTTAAAATTGGGTCTTTTCTCTCCAAAACACTAATATGGTGATTGCTACAATAAATGTGCAACAATGGGTGAAACATCCGAAAAGGTTGTTGAAAATTTGGCCACTGTAATGTTGGGCTCATATAATCACAAAGGACTCCCCCATTAAAATCACAAGTGTATTTCATTACCCCTTATTTGTTACCTCATATATTGTTGCCAAAATAATAAAGAAAATTCCAAGTATTTTATTTTGGCGTTTTTCTAAAGGGATTTGGTCAACATTGTAAATACTACAATTGTAAAGACGCTCATATTCATCATGATGAAATAAATACAAGTCCATTAAAAGTGTTAGTCTTTTAGCTAAAGCTTATAATGTACATGTAAATGTCTAGAGTACGAGATTTTATAATATAAAACATTAGGAAATAGACAAATCATTTGTTTATGTTTTCACCCAGAAAACTCGAATTCGCTCCGTAGTTTACTGATAGGGATATAGTACCGGTCGATTTTGTAAAAAATAGTTATTTTTTCAGTTTTGTTACCTTCACGCCCTAAAACATACAAACTGGTCAGATAGCAAATTTATGAAACGTTACAAAAATTGGTTAGAGAAACTAAAATTTATTTTAGTTTTGAGGGACTTTAAAACAGTGTTCCGATTGTACTTTTTTAAAAGTATTCTACTTTCAAATCGACCTCCATACTTACGAAATTGAATTTGTACTTTTTTGAAAGTATGTACATTTAAATCAACATTTTGGATTAAAAATGAAATTGTGGAAGGGATTGGACAAAAAAGTGAATTTTTTGGCCTACGGCCTTCGAATTTCTCAAAATTTTCGCCTGCGGCGCTGAAATTTAAAAAAACCAAAAAATTTTTTGGTACCTTCGGCGCCAAAAACCCTTGCCTCCCCCCCCCCTCCCGAAAAAAAATTTTTAAATTTACTTCGGAGTGTACTTTTTATTTGGAAATTTAGTCTCTATGTACTTTTAAATCGAGATTTTTGTACTTTTCATTGCTATTTTGACGATAGGAACCCTGCTTTAAAATGTTAAGTTTTATCTTGTCTATAATATCAACAAATATTTTAAATTGCTAGATAAAAATAATTAAACAAATTAATTTATTTTAACAAATATTATCGTTTTTTCTTTAAAAAACTACAAATAATTTTTTAAATTCAAGAGCATTAATAATGCTCATTATAACGTTAATATATAAAGTTTTGCGAAAAGGAAGTGAAAAAATTTTTTTATTAACGTAAATAAAACTAAAAAATTCCCACAAAATACAATTTAAAGTAAAAATTTTTAATAAAATTTTAGTCAACAAGCGACATTGAATGCACTTTTTGAAAAATTGTTAGTTTTATGTAGACATAAACAATTTAGGTAATTTGCAATAAAATTTTTGGAAAGCATATGAAAATTATATGTACATGCCAAAATTCTTTGCATTTATACAGGGCTCCGATCGACAAAATGCCACTCAAAAGTATCAAAATCTTGTAAAAAAAGTACATAGGGAGAAAATTTGCAAATAAAAAGTACACTCAAAATTAAATTTGAAAATATTTATTCGTGATCAAATCTTTTATATTTCTCTCCTAAATTAATCTTTTCTAATAATTTCTTGTTTCAACTGAGCACATGAAGCAAAGCTCTGACAGTCTTAACCTCAAGCGAGTTTCTTTCTTTCGTCCATTGAATGTTTGCCATTGAGAAGCGCCGCAGGCGAAAATTTTTTGAAATTTGGAGCCTAAGAAGCCAGATTTCTTTTTCAGCGCCGCAGGCGAAAATTTTGAGAATTTTGGAGGTCCTTAAGCCAGATTTCTTCCATTTTTTGCGCCGCAGGCGAAAATTTTGAGAATTTTGGAGGTCCTTAAGCCAGATTTCTTCCATTTTTTGCGCCGCAGGCGAAAATTTTGAGAATTTTGGAGGTCCTTAAGCCAGATTTCTTCGTTTTTTCAAAAATGTTGATAAAAAAGTACATACTTTCAAAAAAGTACAAATTCAATTTCGGAAGTACGAAGGTCGATAAAAAAGTACAATACTTTTAAAAAAGTACGAATCGGAGCCCTGCATTTATACATATAAAACTTATTTAGTCATGCCATCAATTTATGTCTCAGTTTACTAAAACTGATGTAAAGCATATAGGTACCTTTTGCACTAGCTAAAGGAGAGAAATAGCTATAGCCCAACTGCTTTACTCTGAGAAGATTAAGATTGGCTATATTCTTAAGCTAATCGGAGATATCAATAATTTGAGGAAAGGGACTCTGAAATTTCAAAAACTCTAAAATTTTGGAAGGCCAAGAGGGTTTTGGAAGGCCAAGAGGGTTTTGGAAGGCCAAGAGGGTTTTGTTTAATAAAAACAAAATCATGAAAGGAGTTTAAATTATTTAAATTATGTAAATCCCATAAAATTTATTATAAAAATAAAAAATACTGAAAAGAAGGGGATGGGCAGAAAAAACTCATTAAAAATTTTATTTACTTGCTCAAAGAAAAAAATAAATATATTTTTGTAATTTTGCCTGCCTAATAAATTTTTGTCTCATTCGAATATTATTGATGAAAAAAGGGTAAACTAAAATAGAAGGTAGGTCATTATTCTTAAAATTGTTTTTAAATTAACCATGATTTCCTAAAATCCACTTAATGCGCAAGACTCTTATTTTAATCATAATTTTCCGGAATACCTGCATAGAACACTTTCCGGAAAAATACAATAAAATTTAATTAATATAAACTTTCCGGAAAACATTTAAATATAAATTAAAGAAATACACTTTCCGGAAATTAAATAGAACCTCTTCCGGAAAGTAAATATAAAAGATAAAATTAATACAAACTTTCCGGAAATTAAATAGAACCTCTTCCGGAAAGTAAATATAAAAGATAAAATTAATAAAAACTTTCCGGAAATTAAATAGAACCTCTTCCGGAAAGTAAATATAAAAGATAAAATTAATACAAACTTTCCGGAAATTAAATAGAACCTCTTCCGAAAAGTAAATATAAAAGATAAAATTAATACAAACTTTCCGGAAATTAAATAGAACCTCTTCCGGAAAGTAAATATAAAAGATAAAATTAATAAAAACTTTCCGGAAATTAAATAGAACCTCTTCCGGAAAGTAAATATAAAAGATAAAATTAATACAAACTTTCCGGAAATTAAATAGAACCTCTTCCGGAAAGTAAATATAAAAGATAAAATTAATAAAAACTTTCCGGAAATTAAATAGAACCTCTTCCGGAAAGTAAATATAAAAGATAAAATTAATACAAACTTTCCGGAAATTAAATAGAACCTCTTCCGAAAAGTAAATATAAAAGATAAAATTAATACAAACTTTCCGGAAATTAAATAGAACCTCTTCCGGAAAGTAAATATAAAAGATAAAATTAATAAAAACTTTCCGGAAATTAAATAGAACCTCTTCCGGAAAGTAAATATAAAAGATAAAATTAATACAAACTTTCCGGAAAACACAGTCAAATATAAATCCTTTAAATAACAGAACACTTTCCGGAAATTAAATAGAACATAATATTTCGGAAAGTAAACGTAAAATATAAAACAATATAACTTTCCGGAAAATATAAATTCTTTAATTTTAGAAGATGTATTCTTCCGGAATTATTTTCTTAGGGCCCAAAACAGCAGCTTATTTTAATTAACGTATGGAATTAATTATTCTCTCTCAAATAATTACCTCCTATTTTTCCTACACTAATTTGAAAAATAATTTTTGGAAACCATCATCAATTTTATTAAGGAACAGTTTCAATTTCGCCTCAATTGCATCGAAATTACACTCCAAATCCATCACCCTTCTCTCTCAAATAATTATCCCCTCCTCAACGAAGGATTGAAGCAATAACAAATAATGGAAAATAAAAAGAATTTTAAAAGCAAAAACAACAAATTAAATTTACCTATTGAATTAATTGGGGAAATAATTAAAACAACAAATACTAGGCAAGTTGAATGGATGTGATAAATAGGGTTTTCGGTTTCAAAAATTTTTGTTTTCGATTAACCGAAGAATTTTGTGAAGCTGACAGTCTTAGTGTGATAAATATGTACATATATATTCACCGGAAGTTCCGGTTCAGGCAGGCCGAAATTCCGGGATTTTTTGGTTCCGATTTGCTTGTAATGATCCGGTTCTGGTTTCGGCCTTAAAGGATGTGTATTTAGCTATAAAGGATCTTCCAAAAATCATAAGTATCTTCCAAAATTCTCATAATTTTGCCTGCGGCGCTGAAAAAGATGTTTTCCAGATTCCTCCCCTAAATCCTCAGTTATCCTCCCAAATCCCATGATATCCTCCTTAATCCATCCAAGAATTTTCGGTCTAACACTTCTATCGACTCAACTCGCCGAGACAGCGAATAGTAGTTGTTTCTTATCGAAACTTTCTTTACGGTATACTATCCAAAATATTTATAGAATTTTAAACCAATTTCGCATTTTCGCGTTTCGCATCTTTCGCATTTTTCACATTTTTTGGCGCGAAATGCAAGAACTTTGGGGAAAAAGGGGGCCCGGTAACTGCTGCACTATTACCCTAAAAGTTGACCCATTGCTCAGTCAAATAGAAATATAATGATTAAATAATTAATTACTTAATTGCCCAGGGTAATTATTTGAGTAAATACGGTATAAATAATATTCACATCCATTTAACTGCCTAGATTCATTCTATCACGAATTCATCATAATG